TTTAAGAGTTGCTTTTCAAACAAGAAGCTTGGCAACTAATTTTTGTCTGCTACTTGAGATGCATAAGATAAAAAAAATGTGATTCACATTATCAAAATTTATAATACATACAGAAAATACATTTGATTTTTCATCCATGGTTTTTAGTCTAATTAGTTCCAGAGCACCTGTGCGATGAATTCAATTTTAATCTGATTTTTTTAATATCAGAAATGGGCTAATAATAGATAATCAATATGCATGTTTATCAACATTAAACTAATCATGTCTGTGGATTACCTCAATGAACCAAATGAATTATTATGCACAAAAAATAAAGCAATTATTATGCATAGATTTAAGTGTGTATATTGTTTCAGGGTGCACATGTACAACGTTTCATTATAATGTGATTGTCCTAGAACATATATGTACCAAGATTCATTGTAATGGGATAATTAGTACTTGCGATATCAGTGTAAAAGCCAAAAATTAACTAATCATGCAAAATAGTTGATTAATATGCGCTCATTTTTAGCTCAAAATTAATGAGGTCTTTGGATTGTTCTAAAGCATCTATGTAGCAAGTTTCATTGAAAAGTAATGAAGTAATAGTACTTGAAATACCAAAAGCTGAAAATTGATTAATTATGCAAATTAGGTAATTAATATTTCACATATCTGTCTGTGCATTGTCCTATGTATCTATGCAAGTTTCATTGAAATGTGATTAGTACCTGAGATATCAGTGGAAAAGCCGAAAATTGACTAGTCATTATGCAAATTAGGTTAATTATATCCATGGATTTTTACCCAAAACTAACCATATCTGTGCATTAGTCAGGAGCCATGTTTCATCAAAATCTAATGAATGACTCTTTAGATATCAGCGGAAGAGTCAAGGAATAGATAAATATTAGCTAATTATCATGCAAATTAGGTTAACAATATGTATGGATTTCAACCTACGTTCTGACCTACAGTCCGACTCTCACCACCCACCTCACTTTTACCAATCATTCCACTCTCACCACCCACCTTACCCACACTTACTATCTCATTCTCACTAACCACTTCACATTCAACAACCATTCCACTCTCACC